TTTTTTGTACATTTAGTTGTCCGTGAGAGATGCGGAACTGCAGGCAGCCCGCGAGGAACGCGATCTGGCGGTGCGGGACAAAATGGACGCGATGCGAATTCAATGCGTCCGGTGTGGTAATACGGGCAGTGGAGAGGCCGCCGACGCCACTTCCGGGTCTGGTACCGACGAGAAGGACGCGTCATTGATCCCGGAACTGCTGAGAAAAGCGTGGGAACAGAGGGACGGGGCGGTAAGGCGGAAAAACGCAGTACAGGTGCAGCTGGCCCGGACTCGAGTKGACGTACTACAGGCTAACGGTCAACTGATGGAGGCCATCGGGCAGAAGGTAGAACTCAGCCAACAGTTGGAACAGTGGCAGGTTCGTTAATTTCAGCAGATAATAATATAATAATATAATAATATAATAATATATATAGTTCCCAGAGTTTGTTTTTTGTTATCGCACTAATTGTTAAACGAAATTATCTCGGTCACACGTATATTTACTGTTTCATTTAAACCGTCATGAAATCGTATTTTTAATGKAGTACCTATCACCTAGGTATGTAAAAAAATTTACATGGATCATAAATTTTGTGGGATATTTTTTGTTATTTTACTCCACTCATTTTAAAATTAAATAAGCATACTAATAATGAGATTGATAGTCATTTATATGGTTTTCAATATTTGTACATCATAATGTTTGGAAAAGTGTATTATGATTCTAATTCTCAATATAAAACCTTAAATATATCTAAATGATTTTGTCATAGCAAAATGATGATAAAAAATACAGAAGTAAAACGCTATAACATTTATTTTTATTTTGTAAATGTGTTCAGTTTTATTACTGTTTTGAACCTCCAAAACTTAATTCCAAATTTACGAATAATATCCAAAAAGTCATAATAATAGGATATGATTATGCATGTCGGTGGACAAAAGTGAGGTGGAGCAATACTTACTTAAGTAGGTATAGTTAATCAAATTGTTATAAATAATTCAATTTCGATTTGCCAAAACAAAATGAGAATTTAAAAAAAAATATTAAAAATTCAATTGTTGATTTTTTTATTTTGTTTTATTTTATATGCAAATAATTTCAAGTCTCTATATAAATCTAAGTTTTGTATGTATACGTCAGTAATSACATCTTTTTATTGTGTAGATGAGTAATAGGTAACATAATATGATTACTTAATGACAGCATCTAGAAACTCCAAACTTAATCTATACAACTTTATCGGCATCAAAATATTAATTAATAAATATTTCAACTTTAACTGAAGTTCAGTGGTTTTGGAGGAAGGAGTCATATAATTTCAAATTGTGCCGAACTGGAGTTAGGAGGACTACGGTTTATCCCCCCACCCCCCACCCTCAATATTGCCGAACATTAACTTGGCTCTATAATATAGTTATATATAAATATTAATTATAGGTATCACAGAAAAATGTATAAATTAATCATTTGCACTGTTTCAGATGGACATGCAAGCTCTTCTTGACGAGCAGATGCGCAGAAAACTTCTCGCTCCGCCGGCGCAATCATCGGCCGCCGGTACTTCCGAATTTGGTGGTGGAAATCAACAAAAAATTTCCAGTGCTGGAGGGTTCCCATCAATGTCGGCTTCGAGCTTGGGAAGTCTCGGGTCGTCGGGTCTGATGAACTCGTTACTGATGATTGCCGGTGGCGGAGGAAACGCAAACAGATGACGCGGCAAATGATATTGTTGATTTAAGAAACGGTCGTGAGCCGTTCACCTATATAGATAATAATATAATATTGTAATATATTTTGTATAAAAATGGTAGAACAAATACGTGTATTAGTCATATCTCACCCAATTGACGTTTGAAGCGGACATATTATAAGAAAAGGATTTCAATATTATTATTTTATTTTAGATCTGATTTACATTAATTGGCGACTTACTTTTATTAGACTTGACGGTGAGATTTACGAATTCCCGTTCAGCAACAAATAACAATCCCTTTACCGCATGGATGTTTTTTTATGTTTGCTATACTAAGCATAGTTTTTATTTTTTATTTCCCAGTCCAAGTCAAATTYACATGAATTATAAACAGTGAGTTAGTGAGTAAAAATTCTCAAAAATCGTAAATATGTGAGTCATTTTCTAAAATTATTTTGGTCTCTGTTCGTGTCATATAGACTCTTTCGGGAACATTTATTAGTGATATGTACATAGTGTATTTGGCGCTTCGTTTCGGTTTGTCGGTTTATATATATATTCTAGACTGTATCGTGTTGTAAAAACTAGTACAAAATATTTATAACAAAAAGTTACCTCACGTGCACACACTCGTTAATATGATATTATACCCATGTTAGGGTGGAGAAGTTTAGGATTTGTTCAAAATATTAGGTACTCACACAAAAGACTATATACATAATCTATTACACATAATATTACAAACTGTTATTTACTACTTTTAAATTTCAATTTAATTATCACACAATAATTTTTTTTTAAATCATCGTTATTTAACTGTCCGTTTTGATCCTATGATTTATAAACTTCTCTGCCCAATATGATACTTTAAGGGTAGTTAGGTGTATCATTTTATATAAACGATAAACTAATATTATACTTATTGACAATTGTATTATTCGCTATCGCTACTATAAGACTAGAAACTACTTATATAAATATATATTATTCAATCATTGTATTAAGGACAATCAATATTTCAAATTGTATCTTATACTTAAGGTACCTACCTATATACCTGTTATTATTGTAAGATAATATAGTATAGTATTAAGAGCACGTTCACCATTATGTATACAACCAAATACAGTATTGTATAAAGGAATAACAAAAACCATATAATCAACACATATTTCATGAATAAATTTATGTACTTGTTGTTATGTACCTAAGTAGAAATCTACTTATAAAAAAAATAATAATTTTTCATACTTTAAATAAACATTTTGCATTTTGTCCACTGTTCCGTAATAATATGTTACAATGTACGTCGGCAACAGTATAGCTATTGTGTATTTGTGTGTTTTTCTTCAAAAAAACTATTCTTTAAAGGGAGTATCGTATACTTATATATAGTATACTTACTATCAATAGTCAATGCCATAGATATGTTTATATAGTAAATACAAAKTTTTAATACTCAATTTATTAAAAAATACAATAACTTTGTTGATGACCATTATAAAAACTAGGTATATTAAAATATTATCTATAATATACAAGGGACCATAAAGTGTTTATTTAAATTGTCAAAATAAAATGAAAATCAGTTGACTATCGGCATTTAATAATATTGTACAYAATTATTAGAATAAATTAGCTATATAAACACTTTGTTCAAATACGTATGAGAAAATCTAGTATTACTTTACTAATCCACATAAAAAATTAATAATAATAATCTTTCCTGAGCCACCAAATGAGATAATCAAGAACTAAGAAAATAATCGATAAAAAAGATAAAAACAAATAACATTCGATTTTTTTTTATATATTGATCATTATACCTGAACACTATGAGATTAGGTGTTTTGTAAGGGGAACGGTTGGTTTAGAACGCGTAGCGTATGTGTGGTAAAGATATCGTTGCTAATGAAATAGTTGATAATAGCGGTGAGCTAGAGAATGAATGGTTACTGGTTAGGATATTAAAGTTAGTGTGAAGATGAGGTTGCTGATATATAAGAGGGAATTTGTTGAGTCGTAGACAAATTTCCTGAAATGATGTGAACGTGATTGAAGTTTTGGTCGTACGCCATAGATGAATTTCGATTAGATGAATGCATAATTTATGTGATTGATCATTAAAGTCAGTGTCTCTACGACTATAGGTACACAGTGTTCCGATTTGGACTAGGTCCTACACTCCCTAAGAAAGGTATATGAGCATATGCTCGTCCCCCTTCAGACGGAAGCACCAGTCTTTCCTTGCGGTCCGAAAGGCATCGCTAATAAGTGAGACAGGCTTGGAATAGCCTGTCGCCTCCGCCGTCCGTAGAGTTTTTACACCCCCCGAGCGGGAAAGGGTTTTCACCATCTACCAGTTTAACTTCGAGATTTTGTCATTTCTCATGGTCGATCACTGGTAAGGCCGCGGAACTATCCAACCCGCTGCTAAATATGGTTTAAGCAACCGCCAGATGATATACTCCTACCGGCAGAGTGGCTAGATTCTCGGTCTAATACTCATCGATAATTTTTGCCTGATCAGCATACGATCAATAACCACTTTCGTCATAGAAATGACTGCCATACAAATCCGATCCCAGTGCGACGTTTCGGCCAGAGGGCCATCATTGCTGCCTTGTAGCTAGTCTTTGCCTCCCGAATATTTGCTTTTTACAGACATCAGAGGGCTAGTGGTGAGCCCATGACGCCGCGCTCGCGGGTCACGCGGTAGTTGCGGCCTCTCATTTAATATTTGGAATGGAGTGAGTACTCCATTCTCCATGCTCCGACTAGCGCCTACAGATTTTTCAGTCGTGCATCATGCCACGCGCCCCAGGCGCACCTAGTGAGAACACGTAGACCACTGGTTGAGTTTCCGCAGTGCTTATCCCGTAGAACAGTTCACCACAACTCTCTCACCATCACTTTATCTACTCAGCACACCGCATCCCAGATGCTTACTCGTACCTAAGGTACGAGTGGCGGCCGCCAGTCCCCGAGTACACGACCACTCGGGTCGTTATATTCGGTTTCCCGTAATACCGTCCTTTCGCTACCACACCACGTCCCAGACGCTACCATCCTATTGACCCACAACATGACCGTGAGAAACCGCAGCCACCCGCATGAACGACCTGAACTCTTTCCAAAGCTCAGGTGGACCCACAAGCGTCCGTAGCTCACACGGCCACTGTAGGCCAATTCTCTCCACTTGGTCTCTTAGTGCCCTTCTAGCGCCCATGTATTTCAATGCTTCACAGTGAAATACAACATGTTCTGCCGTATCCAGAGTTCCACACGACTGACATTCGTCGGTTTCTGATTTAGAAAAGCGATGGAGATAGGCCATGAATCCCCCGTGTCCCGCGAGGAACTGGGAGGACTCGTGATTCACTACCAACCATTTACAATTCAACCTTTCTTTTACTGATGGGAAATAGCTATATGTGAGTCTACCCTTCTCACTAGCCTCCCACCGTGCTTGCCATTCTGCAAGTCCCTYCTCCTCTATAATTCTTTACTGCTCCCTCCCGAGCCTGTCCATCCTACTCCTAGCCTTCCGACACCTTTGCCTTGCTTCCAGGTCCAGCGGCAACACTCCAGCCAGCACTGGCAGGGCCTCCGTACTAGTAGTACGATAGGCCCCCGTTACTGACAGGAGAGCGTCTCTCAGAGCCCTGAGAAGTAGGCGTTTCATCATCCGATCGTGAACGGTTTCATCTTACACAGCAACCCCGTAAACCATTCTCGGCACAAATACACCTAGGTATAATTTGCGCGTCGTCTCGYCACTAAGACCCCAGGTATTGGAGCCGCCTTCCCAGCTACTTTTCTAACTTGATTTCTAAAACTCCACCTATCGTCCAATGTAACTCCGAGATACTCAATCTTTGTTACCTCCTTTAACCGCCGCCCGTCCATCCTAACTGTGTAGGGCGGTGTCAGATTCCCTTTCAGAAAAAAGRCTTTCGTCTTTGTGACCGAGAAATTCAGCTTCATGCCACTCGCCCAGGGCCCTGCACTTTTTAGTTTCTTCTCTGTCCTTCGGATCACCTCCGCTCGAGTCCGGCCGGCTATCATCAGCAATGCGTCATCCGCGTAGCCGATGGATAGTTCTTCTTCCGACCTATCAAGACTCAGTAAAGAATCCATCAAAATCTTCCAAAGTTCCGGACCAAACTGCGAGCCTTGAGAACAACCCTCGGACAGCCTCCCCTCACTCCTCCCCGCTGGTACAGTGATGCTGGCGTATCGACCCCTTAGATAACTCCGGGTCAGCTCACACATCCTCCTTGTCGCGCCTAATMTGGCCATTGCTGGCCACCAGGCGTTGTCGAACGCTGCCGAGATGTCCATGAACACCCCGAGAACAATATACTTCTCAGCCCGGCTTTAAGCCCGTTCTCTCATTCTTAATATTGCATCGTTGGTATTGTTGTTCATCGTAAAACCAAATTGTTTTTCGGTCATCCTCGGTTCAATTTTCTCCCGAAGCCTCACGCAGGTAAGGTACTCCAGTGCCTTTGACAGCGCCGGAAGCAGGCGTATCGRTCTATAAGACATGGAGTCCGACCTATCCTTGTCACGATTTTTAATAGGGGTACAACCACAGCTTTCTTCCATAACTTCGGAAAGCGAGCTTTTCTTCAACATTCGTTGAAAAGAGCGGTCACTATTTCCGCTATCGCCTGGAATGCAACTCGGAGGATTCTGGCTGCTATACCATCCTCCCCTTGAGCGTTGTCCCTTCCCATTCACCAAATGGCCTTCCTTACATCCTCCTGAGAAAATTCCTTCCGTTGGTTGCCCTCATTCTCCTCACCCCATACATTATCTTCGGTTTTATCCAAGTGCACTCCAGTTTCCTCGCGGATTCTTTTGTGCTCATCGGTTTTGCCTTCGATCATGTCTGGGGGAATCAGCAATTCGAGCAGCAAGTCGAGCGTGTCCTGCAGACCCATCGTGCGCTTTCCATTCYCCTTTCGCAAAGTGGCTAGCACTCCAATTGAGTCCGTACTAGCGCCCTCTTTGCACCAACGGTAGGCGGACCCCTTGGCCTTTCGTTACCTTCCTCRGTAGTAAACCTTTTCCAGGTCCTTGTCTGCTCTTTTCTCCTTCTTGAGAGATACTTGTTCCTTTCTCTCCTATATTGCTCCTCTAATGCGGCTGTCTCTTTTTTATTAGCTGTCATGCTAATGTCTCCAGCCAGCAAGATTGACCATCAAACAGTCTCTCCGCCAGCCTTTGTCGAAACTTATTCCAGTCGGCTTTCCGGACATTGAACCTCTTTCTTATTTCTTCGCCTTTTACTTTCTCCTCCGTATCGTCGTTATAGCCGAATGTAGTAAGTCTRTGATCACTCGTAACCGCATTCTCGTGTATCCTCCAATTACCGATGTTCACGGTGACTTTCGTTGACGCGAGCGTCAAGTCAAGTATCGCCGAACCCATACTGGTATAAAAGGTAGGCACTGATCCTGTATTGCWACAGATCATTTCACCTGACATTATCATATCCTCTACAACCTCAACGACTATAGGTACAATAGATAACCATCGATATTAATGATTGTATCATTTATACAATTTTTTGGAAAACTTCTCGTACATTTTCCATTGTYCATGCACGGTGGCATCATCGTGTACCTTCTGCCGAGCTGATTTGTGAATTTAATCCATCCAGTGCGTCACCCAAACGCATACAAAAAAATTAATTCAAATCGGTCCAGCCGTTTAGGAGGAGTTTAGTGACATACACACGTACAGTAGAATTATACTTATATATATATATATATATAAAGCTATCATTGTATTAATAAATTTAAAGTGTGTATTATTTTCTAAACTTTTTTGTAACCGCCTAATTTACGAAACATCRTTTGGTTTTCACCTATTACAGAGAACGTAATAACAAATTGTCGTCTTTCGGATATAACTGAATACACAATATAAAATAAAACGCAGCACCACAGTCCATAAGCCGTGGTGCTTATAATTTATTTGAATTATTTAAATACAYGGGCTTTTAAATGTTATTTGAAACTGAAAACATGACTAATTTATGATACATACAATTTGATATTATTCTTTATACTGCAGATACTTTGGTACAAATTGAAAAAAAAAACAATTGTACGATGTACCTATACATAAATAATAATAAAAAAAAATGTTATGATACTCCAGTTGTCATGTTTGTGATATACATTAATCGTTGACAGTTGTATACCGTAAATTAGTAGTTCAAAATGACAGCGTGTTTTTAAATACATTATTTTATTAAATATTTATTTTTATTATGTAAATCGTGCTTAAGTTACTGAATAAAATTCAAACATAGTCATTACAATATTATAGTATGAGTGTGTGATTTTACATAATGCATAATAC